CAACCCTGTCACACACCTTCCTAATTTTAAACCATTCGGTGTTCCCTTGTTCTGTTTGAACAACTGCCTCTTGGTTTATGTAACAGGATCCTCATGAACACAATTAAATATTCCAGAATATTCATTCGCCATAATGTTGTCCAAAGCTTACCATGCTTCACACAACTAAAAGCCTTTGCATACTCAATGAAGCACAGGTAAACATCTTTCTGGTATTCTCTGCTTTCAGCCAAGATCCATCTTACATCAGTAATGATTTCCCTCATTCCACATCCTCATCTGAACCCAGCTTGAATATCTAAAGTTCTCTGAAAATGTACATTTGCAGTCATTTTTGGAATTTGGATTTAGCAAAAGTTTACTTGTCTGCATTCTGTTGGGTAACCTCTTTCTGGAATGGGCACAAATATGGATCACTTCCAGTCAGTTAGCCTGGTAATTTTCTTCTAAATTTCTCAACATAGATGAGTGAGTACTTCCAGTGCTGTATCAGTTTGTTGAAAGATTTTGATTTGTATTCCATCAGTTTCTGGTGCCTTGTTTTTTGCCAGTGCCTTTAGTGAACCTTGGACGTCCTCCTTCAGTATCATTGGCTCTTAATCATATGCTACCTCTGGAAATGGTTGAACATCAACCATTTCTTTTTGGAACAATGATTCTGTTCCAAATGATTCTCTCCATCTTCTTTTGATGCTTTTTGCACTATTCAATAATTTGCCTATAGAATCCTTCAATATTAAAAGTTGAGGCTTGATTGGTTTGAGCCGCAATGTTGGCAGTTCAAACCTACAAGCCGCTTCTCAGCAAACTCCTATACAGAGTCACTGTGAGTGGAAACCAACTCCACGGCAGTTAACAACAAATATATTTTATTTGTTATTATTAACTGCCGTGGAGTTGTTTCCAATTCATAGCAGCCCTGTATAGGATTTCCGACTTGGGGCTTCAAACCAACCTTGAGGTCCAGTGCTTATCCTACAGTGCCACACCAGAACATGTACACACATACACATCCTGGTGTGGTGTTGCAGGATAAGAGCAAGAGAAACACTTAACACAACTGTTGTTGTTGTTAAGTGTTGTCGAGTTGGTTCCAACTCATAGTTACCCTGCATAGGGTTTCTGAGGAGTGACTGGTAAGGTTTGAACTGCCAACCTTATGGTTAGCATGATACAGTATGTCTGAAAGAACTGGTAGAATATCCTAGTTCAGATGCTGTTGGTTTGCTACACTAATATCCATTTCCTATCACCATGAGTTGGAATTGATTCTGCGGCAATGAATACAACATGCTATTTTCTATTGTTGTTGTTAAGTGCCATTGAGTCGGGTCCGACCCATAGCGACCCTGTATAGGGTTTCCGAGGGTGTAAATCTTTACGGGAGTAGAAAGCCGAATCTTTCTCCCGCGGAGCGGCTGGTAGTTTCAAACCGCTGACCTTAAGGTTCACAGCCCGATTCGTAACCTACCCAGATGGAAATGCTAAATACTTGCTTTCCCAGGCTTTCTAGCAGCTAAAGGAGCTCCGGTAGTGTAGTGATTGCGAATTGAGCTGCAAACCTCAAGGTCAGCAGTTCAAAACCACCAGCTGTTCTGTGGGATAAAGATGAGGCTTTCTGCTCCCGTAAAGATTTACAGGCTCGAAAATCCCGTACAGGGTCACTATGAGTTACAACTGACTCTGCAGCACAAAATCACCACCACCTAGCAGCTAAGGGACCCAACTCAGGCCAGCGAGACTATAGCAAATGTCTTCTGGGATCTCCTGGTAAAAGCAACTTTGTCCTTCTTGCCTTGAAATAAGGATTTGATGCTTAGAGTTAAATCATATATTTACCAGAGGACAGTAAGTCAACATGTAAAGACTGGCAGAGCAGAAGACAGAGTTATAAACCTTCATGACAAAGGTAACCTCTGAATCAGCCTGGACCTATCACCAGATTCTTGTGAAAAAATTAAATGTTTATATTGCTTTAGTCATTGTTATTGTCACTGCTTAAGCCATTTTGTTAACAATCTGATACATCTTCTACCATATTTTTCACATGCAGCATGTTCACAGAAATAACATGCACAAATGAATAATGCACACAGTAAGCATATGACTAATAGGTAAGGGGGTTGCACAAGGTGCAAAAAAAATAAATAAATAACAGCACATTATTTGAGTAAAAATATGGTAATTTGATAGATGTTTCCTTACCTGCCAGTCACTTCAACAACCTAGTAGTGTCTTTACTTCCAATCTCTCAGCCTTTTAACACTTTATTTGGGTGCTCTAGCAAAGGTCTCATTGATAACTTTCTTCTAATCACCAAACCCATAAGTCTCTTGTCTTTATCCTATGTCAGATGCCTGTCACTTAGCTGTTAATCATCCCTTCCTCTTTCTTCCACTGAGTTCCATAGCAGCAGTCTAGTCTCATTCCCTTCTTCTGCCTCTACTGCTTTTATGGTCCCTCTTCCTATGTCCACCACCATGTGTCTGTCAGTTTATGATACTGTGGAGGCTCCCATATTGCTGTGATGTTGGAAGCTATGCCACTGGTGTTTTGAATGTCATCAGGATCACTCATGGTAGACAAGATTCAGTTGAGAGTCCAGACTAAAACAAACTAGGAAGAAACAAAGGCAGACTGCTTCTGAAATTTTTGCCACTGAAAACCTTATTAATAGCAGTGGAACACTGTTAGATTGCAAAGGAATACCAGATACTGAAACATGATGAATAGCACCAGAATACTGTCACATACAACAGTGCCTAAAAATTAGCGCTTCAGATTGGAAGGCACTCAAAATGTAACCAGGGAAGAGCTGCCTCCTTAAAGTAGAGTTGACCATGACGACGTGAATGGAGTAAAAAAAAGACTGCAACAGTACACTGACAGGGAACTTCCAGAGGTTCAAGCCAGTTTCAGACGAGGACATGGGATGAGAGTTGTCAAAGCTGATGTCAGATAGATCTTGGCTGAAAGCAGAGAATACCAGAAAATAGTTTACCTGTGTTTTATTGACTATGCAAAGTCTTTTGACTATGTGGATCATGACAAGCTATGGACAACATTGTGGAGAATGAATATTCTGGATCACTTCATTGTACTCATAAGGAATATGTACATAGACCAAGAGGCAGTTGTTCAGACTGAACAAGGAGACACTGAGTGGTTTAAAATCAGGAAAGGTGCATGCCAGGTTTGTATTCTTTTACCATACTTATTCAATCTAAATGTTAAGAAGCTGCATTATTATGAAACAGAATGTGGCATCAGGATTGGAGGAAGGTTCATTAACAACCTGCAAACTTCAGATACAACTTTGCTTGCTGAAAGTGAAGAGGACTTAAAAATACTTACTGATGAAGATCAATGATCACAACCTTTGGTATGGGTTATACCTGATTGTAAAGAAAACAAACATCCTCACCACTAAACCAATAAATAACATCATGATAAATGGAGAAAAGATTGAAGTTGTCAAAGACTTCATTTTGCTTAGATACATCATGAACACTTATAGAAGCAGCAGGCAAGAAATCAAATGACATATTACATTAGGAAAATCTGCTGCACAAGACCCCTTTAAAGTGTTCAAAAGCAAAGATGTCAGTTTGAGGACTAAGGTGCATCTGACCCAAGTGATAGTATTTTCAATGGCCTCTTATTCATGTGAAAGTTGGACCGTGAATAAGAAGGACTGTAGAAGAATTGATACATTTGAATTATGGTGTTGGAGGAGAATATTAAAAGTACCAAAAGAACTAAACAATTTCTGTTGGAAGAAGTGCAGTCAGTATGCTCCTTGGAAGTCAGGTTGGCCAGACTTTGCCTCTCATACTTCTGACATATTACCAGGAGGGACCAGTCCCTGGACAAGACGGGCTGTCACAATGGCAGCAGCAACGGACTCAAACGTAGATATGAGATTGGCCCAGGACTGGGCAGTGTTTCATTCTGTTGTGTACAGGGTCGCTGTTAGTTGAAATTGACTTGACGGCACCTAACAACAACAACAGCGTATGTACAACCTTCTGTCAGCATGTTCCCGCAACTTGCATCTTTGACTCTATTTTCTTCTCAACCTATATCTTCTCCCTGTGTAGTTTCTTCAGCTCCCAGATTCAACTACATGCAATCATTCCCTTGGAGAGTAATAAACAAACTGCATTTTTTTCCAGAATAATATAAGCCCAGGTACAAAAAGGCAATGGTATAGCAAAAACTAGATTTCTTTCTCTTATCTAGCTAAATATTACCTGAACAAAGATTATCTTAGGCATTAGACACTTAAGGAAGAAGGGCTGAGAATAAAGTTGCATAAAAAGATGTTACATTTGCTCCTGTTCAATGTAGTCAACTCACTTTTATTGTGTGTCCTTGAATAAACAAATCACCTATAGCAAGTACGTGCATGTTTGTTTGTGCATGTGTATGTATACACACACATACATGGATGTGCTTCCAGTTAAACAGTAACCCTACCTAAAACACTACATACATAATTTAGACCTCTAATACGGAATTCTGCAGCCCAGGTGGCTCAGTGGGTTACGCATTGGGCTGCTAACCACAAAGTCAGCAATTTGAAACCACCAGCTGCTCTGAGGCTGAAAGATGAGATTTTCTGCTCCTGTAAAAGATTTGCAACCTGATAAACTCTATACAGGGTCGCTATGAATTGGAACTGACTCGATGGCACACAACAACAAATACGGGATTTATATTGCACTTTATTGAAGTTAGTTCTTTATATGTTTGGGTTGTGTTTTGTTGTTTGTTTGTTTTTTTAACCAGAATGTAAATTACTGAAGGTCAGAGACTGTTAGACATCAGTGAGTGCTTGCTTAAGACAATGACTCTTATTTGATGGAGTGGTTTAGGGCTATTTTTGGAAAATGTCTTAACTGGATGAACTCTTGAGATCTTCGTGAGTCCCATACCTTCCAAGTGTGCAACTTCTGCTTTGTGTGAGATATTATATGCAAAGTGTTAAAATCACTTACCCTCACAGTATATGTTCTCCCTCCAACTCTATCTCGGGCTTCTAAGACTAAAACATTAACGCCATGATCAGCCAAGAGTTTGGCAGCAGACAATCCTAAAGGGAAAGCAAAATATAAGAACATATTAACTTATACATACTAATTAGCCAAGATTAGAATATATACACAGATAGGTGAATAATCACATAGAGAGGAACTATTCCAAGTGATTTAAAAAACACAGTAATTTTACAGTGTATTTCTTATATACCCTAAAGATAAAAACAACTGCAAACAAAAAATTATCACTAAGATGGTGACAGGATTATTGTTATTCTGAGACTGTTATTTATCTTTTGTTGTTGTTGTTAAGTACCATGGGGTCGGTTTCAACTCATAGTGACCCTGCACAGGGTTTCCGAGGCTGTAAACATTTACAGGAGCAGAATGCCTTGGAACCGCTGGTAGTTTTCAACTGCTGACCTTGAGGTTGATCTAGTAAGGTTTGAACCAAAATTTGGCATGGAAGAGTAAAGGAACTAGGTTTTAAGAACCGTAAGGTTAAGTAAAAACCTCGCCATTCTAAATATGCAATGGAATTTTATCAGTGTGATCTCTGGGTATAGTCTATCTTTAAAAATATTTTTTTCTAAGTCCTGTTGAATGTAAGTTAAGTTGTTAAATACTGTCAAGTTGTTTCCGACTCATAGTGACCCTGTATAGGGTTTCCAAAGAGTGGATGTTGGGTTTGAACCACCGACCATGTGGTTAACAGTCCAGTGCTTACTTACTTTACTGAGTAAAGTACCATACCTTACTCAGTAGCAATTAACACTCCCCCCAACAACCTGACTATGGTTTCTAAAAAATCAGTTCATATGAAATGAATCCTGACTCTTGATCTAGTCCAGGAATTGGGCAGGAAATGGACAAGGCAAACCTGGAATGTTAAATGATAGCAGAAAGCAAGGAGGTTGTCACATAACTAGGATTGACAGGGGTGAAAAATAATGTTAAACTTCTCACTGCATATTAGTAAGTAAGCACAAGTAATCTGTGTTTACCTTCCTTAGTGGATAATCTGCCCCACCCTTCCCTTTATCTTACTTTACCACCACATTCACATTTACTCTAGTCTAGGGGAAAAAAAGAAATTCCTTCATTTGATTCATGTTACTCTTTCCAATTACTGCGCTATTTCTAATTTTCCAGATACAACATGTGATTTACATTTAAAATCTTCATTTTCTAACTAGAACAAACCTAGTACCGTAGTGTATTTATCATGAAACGTTAGCACTGAAGTCAGCAACAATGAAGAGATACCCAACGTCACCAATTTTATTGAATATTATTTGGAAACAGAGTTATAATAATTAGAAAATAGGTAAAATTAGCATGGTTTAGAACAAAACAAAACAAAAACCAAAGAGAGAAAGAAGACAACTCAAGGACTAAGGTGTCTAAAGTTAATATTTAAAAAATAAAAAAGCAGTCTTATATACAATTAGTTGAGAAATATAATGAAAGAAAAGAGCTGCTCACTTCTAAAAGTTAGACAGATGATAAACTATTTAGGAATAAACTCAGCAAGAACTTCACAGAATTCACATGACAAACAGCTTGAAAATATGAAAATCACTGATAGACCCAAAAGATAACTCAAATGAGTTCTTTTTTAATAAGGAGTAACATTATAAAAGAAGTCTTTGTGTGGTGCTGTAGGATTAAACACTAGGACTGCTAACCACAAAGTCAGCAGTTCAAATCCACCAGACGCTCCTTGGAAGCCCTATACAGGGTCATTATGAGTTGAGTCAGAGCTGACTCAATAGCACTTAACAACAACAACAACATTATAAGGGACCTCAATTTATCCCATATTAATTTTAAATTTTAATGGAATATCAATAAAAAATGTTAACACTAAAGTTTGAGTCCCTGATTCTAAACTTCCTCTGGAAAAACGGCATGGTAAACTTGCCAAGAAATTACTGAAGAAGATGCTTAATAAATCAATACTAACCTAAGCTTTGGTGGCATAGTGGTTACGATTCGGGCTGCTAACCTCAAAGTCAGCAGCAGTTTGAAACTACCAGCTGATCCATGGGCGAAAGATGAGGCTTTCTGCTCCTATAAAGATTTAAGCCTCAGAAACCCTATGCGGGGTCGTTATGAGTTGGAACTGATTCCATGGCACACCAACAACAACAACAACAACCTAAACTTCAGAGAGAGTCCAGGTGTGGCACTGTGGGTTAATTCTCTGGACTTCAAAGTCGGTTTGAACTGCAAGGTTGGTAGTTTAAGCTCACCAGCCACTCTGGAAGCCCTATACAGGGTCACTATGAGTCATAACTGACTTGATGGCACTTAACAACAATAACCCCCTAAGTTTTTATTAAAATATATTACAAATCTCTAGTAAAACAAACAAACAAACACATAGTGAAACTGGTATAAGATTGTTATTGTTAAGTTCTGTCAAGTGGGTTCTGACTCATAGCGACCCTGTAGGGTTTCCAAGGAGCGGCTAGTGAGCTTGAACTGCCAACCTTGTGATTCAAACTGATCTTGCAGTACAACGCGTTAACTCACAGTGCCACACCAGGACTCTGGTAAAAAGATTAGATAGACAGATATATATAAGAACAGATAGCCTAGAAATGGGCTGAATAACACAAGTTATTCTAGTTCAGTCATAAATGATATTTGGACATTTAACTTCAGGAGAGGAAAAAGCAAAGTAGAATTTTTTTTCTAACATTTTAATTAAAATAAAGTTAGATGAAAAGTTTGAATGTTTTAAAAAAAAGCCCTATACAGGGTCGCTATGGGTCGGAACCGACTCAATGACACTTAACAATAACAACTTTCAAGGTACACAGCTAGGGGTCTAGGATGGAAGGACGATGCATTTTGCTTTATGTACTTATTTGGGATGTTTTAATCTATTGCATACATGTGTTTATATGTTGTTGCTGTTGTTGTTAAAGTGCCGTCAAATCGGTTCCGACTCATAGCAATTCTGTATAGGGTTTCTGAGAAGTGGCTGGTGGGTTTAAACTGCATATCTAGTGTTCAATGGTCCGGTGTTTATCCTATAGTGATATACCATTGTTGTTGTTGTTGTGAAGTGCCGTCGAGTCGGTTCCGACCCATAGCGACCCTGTATAGGGTTTCCGAGGAGTGGCTGGTAAGCTTGAACTGCTGGCCTTGCAGTTCAAATGGCTTTGCAGTCTGGCGCATTGACCCACAGCCCCACATCAGCACTCCATAGACACCTCCATATTTACAAAGAAACAGTTACTACACACATATTCATTAAAACATATTTTCTATCCAAAATTGCTTTTCCTTTTAAAATATTTCAAACTATAGGTTTCAAATATAACCTTAAGCTATGAAATAAAGGCTAACTTCAAGAGAATCGTCTAGGTAATGACTAGCAACTGAACCTTTCAGCAAGTACTTATTTTACACCATCACATGTATCATTAACACAGCTAAATTTATTAATTCATCCAGTCATTCAACAAATAATAAGAAGCTCCTATAAGGTCATGGGCACCATCTGAGGTATTGTGAATATAATGGTGACTATAACCAAGGCCCTGGCCTCGTGAAGCTTGCATTCTAGTGGGTGAGACAGACAAAGAATAGAGAAATAATAGCTTTTAAGAAATATTAATCAAATATTAAGTGCTATGAAAATAGAGTAAAGATTCCTAGTGTGGCACTGTAGAATCATCATTGGCCTGTGAACGACAAGATCAGCAGTTCAAATCCACCAGCTGCTCCTTAGAAACCCTAGACAGGGTTGCTATAAGTTGGAACCTACTTGACGGCACTTAACAACAACAAGGCGAGTGATAAGAGGTTGTTGTTGTTGTTAGGTGCCGTCGAGTCCATACCGACTCATAGCGACCTTATGCACAGCAGAATGAAACACTGCCCGATCCTGGGCCAACCTCATTACTGTTGCCACGCTTGAGTCCATTGGTGCTGCCACTTGGCCAATTCATCTCCTTGGTGGTCTTCCTCTTTTTCTCTGACACTCCCCCTTACCAAACATGATATCCTTCTCCAGTGACTTGTCCCTCCTGAAAATATGTCCAAAGTATGAGACATCTTGGCCTTAGAGGAGCACTCTGGCTGCACTTCTTCCAAAACGGATCTATTGGTTCTTTTGGCAGCCCATGGCACTTTCAGTATTCTCCCCCAACACCATAACTCAAAAGCATCAATTCTTCTACGATCTTCCTTATTCACTGTCCAGCTTTCACATGCATATGAGGTTATTGAAAATACCATGGCTTGGATCAAGCGCACCTTAGTCCTCAAGCTGACATCTTTGCTCTTCAACACTTTAAAAAGGTCTTGTTCAGCACATTTGCCTAATGCAATACCTTGTTTGATTTCTTGACTGTTGATTCCATGAGTGTTGATAGTTGATCCAAGAAAAATGAAGTCCTTGACAACTTCAATCTTTCCTCTATTGGTAAGAATGTTGTTTATTGGTCCAGTGGTGAGGATTTTTGTTTTCTTTATGTTGAGATGAAATCCATACCTAAGGCTGTGCTCTTTGATCTTCATCAATAAATGTTTTAAGTCCTCTTCACTTTAAGCAAGCAAGGTTGTATCATCTGCATACTGCAGGTTGTTAATGAGTCTTCCTCCAATCCTGATGCCACGTTTTTCTTCACAGAACCCAGCTTCTCGGATTATTTGCTCAGCATACAGGTTGAACAAGTATGGTGAAAGCATACAACCTTGTCGCACACCTTTCTTAATTTGAAACCCTTCAGTATTCCTATGTTCTGTTTGAACAACTGCCACTTGGTCCAAGTACAGATTCCTTATGAGCACAATTAAGTGTTCCAGAATACTCATACTTCGCAATGTTGTCCATAGCTCGTCATGATCCACACAAGCGAAAGCCTTTGCATAGTCAATAAAACATAGGTAAACATCTTTCTGATATTCTCTACTTTCAGCCAAGATCCACCAGACATCAGGAATGATATCCCTCATTCCACGGCCTCTTCTGAATCTGGCTTGAATCTCTGGACGTTCTCTGACAGTGTATGCTTGCAGCCGTTTCTGCATTACCTTT